TTCACATGTGGCATTCAAGAATGATCTTGGCAAAGTTCCTGAGATCTCACAGGAATATTCTTTCATTTTGCATATACTGTACTTTCTCCTGTTGCTCATTCAAAGCTCCAGAGCACTAACTGTCCAGGTAATATGAGGTGCTCCAAACAGTAAGGGCCAACTTAATCTTAACTATGGTGAAAAATGCCTTAAAACAATACAGTAAAAAATGATAAACTAAAAACTGATTTTTTTTCTTTAGTTTTATTTGTATGAAGAATATTTTCAGACACTGTTTACCTGTGTTTTAAAATTAAGTGTGCCATTACTATCTGTAATGCTTCTTTTAGTTTTATCAGTGAAGAATAATTAAAAAAAAATCCTTAAAGGAATAACATTAGCCATGAGGGAAGACAAGAATTTATGATAGCAAACTGAGAGTACATAAAGTGATCTGATGAGCTTTGATGAACAATGCAAGACTACATATATATATATATATTACATGACTTAATGAATATGCACCTAAATGTTATATTAGATAGTTTAATGTAATTTTTTATACAATGTTATGGAAAAATTATTTGTTGATAGTTAAAAGGTGTTTCTCACAGTGTCATAGAGCCATGATGTACTCATTGCATGTGCCTTGTCAAAGTACATGGTGGCTCCTCAACTTTCTCAAGCGTCAAGTTAGTGCCCTTGTAGAACTTGATGTTTAAAAAAGGCCTTTTACCTCTGATATTAGCATAACACTTTTTAATGCCATTAATATTTACTCTATGTATTTTATACATGTGATGTGCCATTTCAACCCTGTCTACGAGTGATTCAGCTAGTGTATTGTTTGATCCCTACAGCATGCTGGAAGGTAAAGGGAATTCTGAAAGCCATATGTTACTTGTTCAATGGTCAAAATTTATATTTATAATTATTATTAAATTCATGGAGGAGAGCTAAACAGTTTGGGGTCATGCAGTGCCTGGGAAAATGGGAGATAATCAGGTTCAATCCATGGGAAGGGAGATCAGATCCAATTCCATGGATAAGTCCTTCATTGGCATCAAGGAACCTTCTTCAAGGGGTCAGAACTTATCAATTTTCCCATAGTTTTACTCTTAGTAAATAACTCTACTGAAAAATGATATTTCTCTTATATGTGAAAAATAAAAAGAGTAAGTTATATCCCGTGAGGTCCGCAGTATTGATGGTGGATCTTATTGACCATTACTTTTTCCCCATTCATAAAACTGTGCCAAGCATGACTTTTCAGCAGTCAAGCAAGGTCATTTTTTTATATATTTTATTAACAGATTTGTGCCATAACTTTAAAATGAAACTACTGTAAGACTTCTGGTTATGTTTCTTTCAAGTGAATATTGATTACTATTTAGGCAGTTTTTATTCTTAGATATTTATCTCCAATATAATTTCCTGGGATTTCTAATGGTTTCAAGAGAAACTAAATTAAATGGCTCCTATAGGCAAGAAAATAATTGCCAATATTATTTTAATACAATTTCTGCATGTTTCTTAAGCAGTGAAGATAATATTTGATGCTCACCAGATCAAATGACTAAATTTTATCTCTGTTCAGTGGCATACTATAGCATTTTCCTTACCTCCTTCCTATCAAGTGCTGAGTCAGTTATCTTATTGTATCCAGTGTGTTTGCCTTCACCTGCCAGAGTTAAGGCTGTGTACTATGCCTTTCACAAATTAAGTATTTATCATGGATTCACCTCCCACAACGAAATTTGGCTTGGAAATTCGAGTTAATACAATTTCAGCATTAGTCTATATTAAAATTCACTTTCTCAACATTTGGACATAATTAACAATACAGGAGACTACACTACTGTACTAAAATTGATCGTAAGTGCTCAATTGTATACACAGAGATGCTTAGTGTCGCAAGTCAGTATTTTGCCAGTTATTTAACTCTGTTAAATTTAAACCTATACTGTATATACCTTCTGAAATATTATTCTGTTACTTTAAATATTTGCATAATAAAAAATAAGTGAATATTTAAAGCATAATAATGTATAAAAATTTGCCACCAACTGAATATGTAGTGAATCTTTCACTATTTAAGTTACTGAACTCTGTTGTTTAATTATCCATGTCATTAAGGTTAGTACTCTTAATGGATTCACCAATGATCCCACTTTAAAGGCACAATACTAGTCCTGTTTATATTTGGTTAATTTTACGTGCAATTAAAAATATATTCGTATTTGCTTGTATATAATTTTGGTTGCAAGGCAACACCAAGAATATTTATATTCGCATGGTAGCACGGTTTCCCTGTATTGTTTACTCATCACATACCTGTAATCATAATGTTGAAGAATTTCAGAAATTTCAGCCATTTTCAAGCTGGAGACAAGAGGCAATTTGGCTTGTTTGGTCAGACATGGCCGAGTGTGCAGACCAATCGCTCTCAAGTACTGAAATATTTATTGTATTTCTTGTAAATGTTGTAATCATAATCATAAATGTTGTCCTAATGTTGATACATAATGTATTCTGATGACACTCTCGGGATATTAAACATCTATTAGTGAATAATTGATTTTAATCCATCTTCCTTCACATCATGAAAACTTCAACTGAATTCCAAATGAACAAAAAATAATCAGTGCTGAAAGACAATGAAAACATATCAATCTACCTTGGGAAAGAATCCCTTGTTAAATTACTATCCCTTCCATCCTCCCAGAAAACTGAATTAGATCATAATCCAAGGTGCATCTTGATGGACTCTGAAATGTATACAGTACACAGCTGGAAGCACTGTCATTGTGACAGAACAATGATACAGCTGGAAGCACTGTCATTGTGACAGAACAATGATACAGCTGGAAGCACTGTCATTGTGACAGAGAACAATAATACAACTGATTGTATGCACTTCATGCATTAACATTTGACTGCATTACACAAATTATAAGTAGTCCAGGGCATATCCACTCATGGAAGAAGTCTTATTAGCAGCCTAATGATAATGATGCACAAAAAGCTTGAGCTGAACTTTTGTGACCTTAGACAAAGCCAGACTGATACCAGTCAATTTATCTACAATCACAGCATTATGCATATGTCACTTATGATGTATGAAACTGTGACTCAAGATGCAACCAGACTATCAGTCAATCCATCTACTACAAACATCTCTACAAACATATCATCTTGCATCCCTTGCAGGGATGCTTTGA